TTTCTGTGAAAGTATTGACAGGGTGGTGGGGTTGCACTGTTGGGAACCACTTGAGTTCACAGTGGCTAGTTTTATATACTTCCCTAAGGGATGAACAGAGGCTTGGGATTTTTGCTCTTTGGGATACACCATTATCCACTAGGGTGGCTATCCTCTCCTACCTCCTAAGGCTAAGACCACTAAGACTAAAAACCTCCAGGGCAAAATAAATCAACAGCACCAAGCAGAAAACTTACAAGTCTGCTTGGTAACCACTGCCCATCTTCGCAAGCACTCACACACATAGGTGACTTGAGGTACTATTGTTGATAATCACCAGGTTATCCACATGCCAAGTTGCAAGTGTGTTTGTGACATCTGAAATAAGGACTTGGCCATGATCCCCAATTGCCTGTATCAAACAAGCAACAAGATAAAGTAAGAAACAACAGACAAATTTAATAATACATGATGAGTGACTGGGAAGCCACTTTGTCCATCTCCAGATGGACAAAGAGTGACACTTCCAGGCAGCCAGTATTTTTTGGGTGTACACAGTGATAGGCGGGGCCAGCTGAGGCTTCAAGAGTTGGGGGAAACTCAGACCAGTATAATCTTGGGATGCCCAAGAGGGCGTAAATGATCTTACGCTAAAAAGGATCTTGGCCTGGAGTGTGTTTTGAATTTGGTGGTTTTATTTTTATCTTGTGGGTAGCCCATCCCTAAAGAGTTAATGGGAAATCTCAAATGGGTGGTACTAATAATCCCATGCCTCCATTTATCCCTGAGGGAAGTATGAAATAGTCAATTTGTGGTCCCCAACAATCAGACATACAAGGTCAGTTTGACTGGAGTTGTGACCGTTGGACACAAGAGGCAGAGTTAGCAATGCCCTGCACCCCTCCTGGTGTTACCTAGCAAGATGGTGCTCAGGCACACACAGTCCAATCATGAACAGCACTGTGGAAACGCCCATAATGGTGTAAAAATTTACAACCTTCACATTACTGGCTGCCCAGAGCCACACGCACCCATGGGCTGAGAGTTGGACCTGCCTGCTTTAGAAGTTACTTAGGGGCCAGATGAAAATGAGTTTAAATGTAGTATTTACATGAATTCGTGTCTCAAAATATCTTTATTCCATCCCTGTATTTGCAAGGGAGAAATCTAGTTTCACTTATCCTTTTTATCCTGGTGAGGAAGATAATTTGCCCTTCTTTCCAATCGCTGAGGTCGGCCAGCAGTCTGCTGAGCGCTCTTCATGGGGGATTTGCCCGCATCCTCTGCCCGCATCCTCTGCCTGCGCTGTCTTTGGGATTTGCAGTCTTACTGCTGCTTCTGTCTTTTCCATCACTGATCTTCTCCACCTCTTTGAAGAAATTAGCAGCGTTTTCTCTTTGGTTGCTTTGCCTCTTTCTCTTCAGTCAATTATTTGAAAATGTTTTCATGTTAGCCCCAATAACCTAGAACCTCTCTTCATGTATTTTTCAGCTCTGTCTCTATGCTGAGATCTGAATAATTTCTCCTGATCTTTTAGTAAGTTCACCATTCTCTATTCATTTCTTTCCACTCTAATGTTTAACCAGATTGGAGTTTTGAATTTCAGTTACTTTATCTTACAGTTCTAAAATTGTTTTCAAAATTTTACCAGTTTTGATAATCTCAAATCATAAATTTTATTAATTATAAATCTTATTTATCAAATAATAATAAATTTTATTTCTTTAAGTATGTTAAATGTTATGCAGATACTTCTTGTTTCAATGACCAAGCTACGTCCTGCAACCAAGTCATCAAATGAATTGTTCACTCAATGAGGAATTGTACATAAGTATGTACATTGCAGTATTCAGAACAAAAAAATGGTCTAAGAAATTTCTAAATCGATCCTTTTGCTTTTGTTTGCATAACTTAACATGCAGTACTGTAATATATAGCAACATAAAACTACAGTACTGTACAGTCCAGGACAATCAGTAAAAATTACAGCACTGTGCAAACAAGGTTTGCTGTACAAAACAGATATCAAGGTTCTATCAACAAGGTGTATAGACCTGTACAAAAAAAGGACAGGTCCGAAGTCTAAAGAGTTATTAAATAGGAAAGTCATTAAATAAAGAATATCTGTATTCTCTATGAAATGTATAAAGGATTTGTGGAACATATTCTGCAGTTTACTATCTGACTTGCAGGTAACTGGTTTGCCAAGGGACACTGCCTTTTGCAATTGTGAGCACCTCATCATCTAGAAGCTTATAGATTGTCCCCCCACCCCACCCCTACACAGAGGATGTGTGTACCCCTGCTGGGCACCTTGTGCCTTTACAGACCTGGGACTCCATCTTCAGTCTTGCCCACATTGGCTCTGTGAGGCCTGGCAGCAGACATCCTAGAGTGCTGGTCCATAGGTGTCACCTTCCCGGAAGGGTGGTGGTGTTCCTCTCCCTGCTCAGCCTAGGGCTAAGGCCAGGCAAGGCAGCTTCCTTCCACTCACACATCTTGCCATGAGCTTAGTTTGCTGGGAATGTTGTACTTGCTGTCCATGGCTTACAGAGGATACAGCCTGCTGCCTGCCCAGCTCCAGGCTTTTCACTCTGCCTCCCTGGCAGTGTGTACACTGCCTGTCTTGGTTGCTTTTCTCTTGTTGCTGAGACAAAATACCTAACACCCAAAATTAGGGAAGGAAAGGTTTATTTAGCTTACAGTTTTTGGAGGTTTCAGTCCATACTCAGCTGGCTCCAAGGCAGGCTGGCATGGCTGAGGGGTAACTGTTCATGGTGGCTGCAAGGGACAAGAGCTAACTGGGTAAAACTGGGAAAAGCACACCTCCTTCCCTCACCTATATTGTGTGTGGTTTAGCACCCCCTGGGGAGGAGGCTTGTGCAGCCCTCACACCACCAAACCCAGTGCTAGACAATGAACCAATCACGAACACTAGACTCAGCCACCCTAGAAAGGCCCACCTCCCTTGACCTCATGAGGCTTTGCAGCGACTTAAACAAGCCATAACACTGCCTATTGCAGCAGGAGATCAGATGTCCTCCCATGCACCATAGGAGATGCAGCATTCTTACAGTCTGTGGCCTCTACTTTCCCTACTTTATTTGTGGATCATCCATGCTTAAAATGCTTTTTGTCTTTATACTATGCCCAGCATTTTCACATGTTCCATCCTAGAAAACATCTCTGCACATTAAGTCACCAATGTGCTAGAAGTAGGAGAGTAGAAAGGGACTTGTGTACCTTTAAAATAATGATACTGTCTTTGCCATTAATCTGGTAACTCTGTGAGTTATATTGCTATATTCTCTAAAGTGATCTTATCCTTAAGTTCTCAGGATAAACCTAACTTGTTTATAATCTCTTTTTCCCTTTTTGGAAATACATTGCTGGCTTCAGTTTGTAATTCTTTAACTTAGAATCTTTGCATATATGTTCATAAATAAGGTTATTTTGTATATTTTTCATAAACTGTCCTCTAGTTTGTACAATCAAAATTATAATAGCCTTATAAAATGAGTTGACACATATTTTCTTTAGCATTTTAAAGATATTCTTTTATCCTCTGATGGCCTTATTGCAGAAGGAAATCTGCTTTCCGTCTGAATGTTGTTTTTGATATTTTAAGATTTTTCTCTTCATCTTTGTTGATACTCCATTTCACATGAATGTTGTCTGTGTTTTTGTGTTTTTGTTTCCTGTTTGGTACCAGGGATTGAACTCACAACCTTGTGCTTGCTAAGCAGGCGCTCACACCACTGAGCTAAATCCCCAGCCCTCTATCATCATATATTAGAACTTTCATGTTCTCTTCCATGGCTCTTAATTCTTCTTTATTTATGTCTCAATGCTTTACTCTAGATTATTTCCCAGGTCAAGCTTCTCAGTCACTAATTTTCTCTTCAGCTTTACTAGTCTATTAATGTCATTTCTTTTTTTTTTTTTAAATGATATGGCTGGATTAAGCTCCACCTTTTATTTTTATTAATGTCATTTCTAGTCTATTTAGTTCTTTTTCAAATCTGTCTTTTTAAAAATAATTTACCATTGTTGCTTTGAAGATCCTGTTCCTGTCCTTTCTTTGAAGATTTTAGTATACCTGTCACTGTGTCACTTGAACTATGCTGTAATTCTTGGGAGTAAAGTCTTTGACTCGCACTGCAGTTTGACTCCTCCTGTGGTTGATATTTTCCTCTGGCATTAATCTAGCTTTAGTTTGGAGGGAGCCTCTTGTGGCCTATGTGGTAGGGATATGGGTGGGCAGGGGACAGGTTTGCAGTGCTCTGTGCTGGGGCCTCCAGGGTTGCCATGGCTCCAGGCAGGTTTTCAGTGAGCGTGTCAGCTTAGGGGTCTGAGCTGTGTTGGGGCCGTGAGTTCACATGGACACAGCACTCTGGTTTCTTTTAGGTTACTTTCTGATGCACAGCCCTGGACAAGTGGGCAGCTCCCTAATCACTCCCTTGGGTGGATGGAGTTTTCCTGGGCCCCGTCTCACACACAGGACACAACGTGAGCCGTGCAGGCAGCTTGGCCCCCATGGACAGGAAGGCTCAGCCCTGAGGCCTGTGTCTTACTCAAACAGCTCTGCAGGTCTCTTGCCTTCTGCAGTAACTCCTGATGAACCATGTGTTTCCTCAGTGATTTTTGTATCTGGAATATTTTCTTTGCACTCACTAAAATTCTTATGCACAAGGGGGCAGGTCTGCAGGAGCTTGGGGTTCCAATTTTGTCTGGCATCAATGTTTAAAGTGAAAACAGGACTCCCCCAAGCAGCTTGGGCTTCCCCAGGGCCCAGCCCTAGCCTTGGGACCTCACTCCTCCCACGCTGCCCAGATATCCAGTACCATGGAACCATGTCCTCTGCCCATGTCCTCTGTCCCTCTGGAATCCCTGTTTGCTACCACCTTGGCTTCCCACCAGGCTCTTGGGCTGATGGACCTTCATGAGGCCAAGGTATCCATTTCAGTGGCTGGCTGTGCACCCAGCCCAGAGCCAAAGGCTTACACGCTCTCCCTTCCCAGGGTCAGGGCCCACAGTTCCTGCCCCCGACCTCCTGATGCAGATCAAGCAGGAGGGTGAGCTGCAGTTGCAGGAGCAGCAGGCATTGGGCGTTGAGGCCTGGGCCGCTGGGCAACCGGACGTGGGAGAGGAACCCTGGGGCCTCAGCCAGCTGGACTCAGGGGCAGGAGACATCTCCACAGATGCCACCTCTGGTGAGTGGCTTCGAGGTATGGGGCTGAGGGCAGGGAAAGGAAAGCTCCCAGGAGCTGTGGGCAGAGACTATACCAGATAACACCTCACATGTCCAAGGGACAAATAACACTGCTCCTGGGGGTTCCTGTGGTCCAACCAATAAGGGCTGTTCCCCAAACACACACCTACTCCAGCTTTGAGCTGTGACATCACCAGCTACCTTCTGTTGGTGGAGGACCATGTGGATAAGTCTGTGACACTTGAGTATTCTAGTGCTTCAGAGAGGGCCTGAAAGACAGTAGCCTAGGGGAGATGCCAAGTTGTCATGGTTACCTAGAAAGGTCCTGGGGGCTTTTAGGGATTAACTGCCAGCCCCTCTCGTGGTTTTCTTCTGCCTGTCTCCTTTCCTTGACCCACACACTGGTTTCTCCTCATTGCAGGCGTCCATTCCAACTTTTCAACCACCATACCACCCACTTCCTGGCAGGCAGAGCTTCCGCCCCACCATCCGTCCTCAGCGTGCTCAGACGGGACACTGAAGCTCAACACAGCAGCCTCCACCGAAGGTAGCGAGGTGGCAGGCAAGGAGGGTGGACGCCACGGCCCAGGAGCCCTGTTCTTGCTGGGGACCACCCTGACCTTTCTGCCAACAGCCGGTTGGGTGTTGATCTCATGACTGTGTACATTCTGGCTTCTTCCAAATTCTCAGCCCTATGCTGCCTCTCTCGAGAACATCCGTGTCTCCAACTGATAAGCTGGTACTGGCAGGCGAGGCCTCCTCCCAGATCAACAATGAAACAAAGGCACAGCTACCTGTTAAACATTGGTGCATTTGAGACAGTGTCTGAAAGACAGCTACTAAATTCGTGTATTAGTTTTCTCTTTAGGTTTTGGAGACCTGTTATCTGCTAAAGTAATAATTTCTTATTTTAGCACCCACACCCCCAGATGTGCTTAAAGCTAAGAACTGTGATGTAAAACCTTGGATGGGAAATAGAGTACATCTACATGAACTCAGATACAGCGAGGTGGCTGCCTCTGTTGAGAGTGCCCGCTGCCTACCACATGATAGTGCCGCTAGATGTTAGCTGGAGACTCCTCCTGCAACCTCACACAGCAATATGCAGATGAGCCTCTAGAAGCAGTGTGCCTGTGCTAGGAGCGTATTTGTAGCAGAGCTGTGGCACAGTCTCAGATTCTTCTGAACCTGAGGCTATGCTTTTGTTCTCTGGGCACCTGGCCACCACTGGCCAGAGTCTTAACCAGGTTGAACCCATGATTGGCCTCCACAGCCAAAGTGAGAGCTGGGTCAGGGGCACGTCTGAGTGTTCCTTTTCCTATGGTGACATCCTGACATGGGTATCCTTGGGGTTTGATGCAACCTCTCAGGGCCCAGGGGTGACTCCTAGGAACTGTGATACTGAGGCTTGGCCATCAGGGCCCTGCCTGGTACCTGAGGGGTTGAGCAGCTGCTGTGGATTTTAGTCCCTTCAGAGAGGAGAGCTGAAGTGATACCTGCCTCTCTTTATCTCTCAGCAGATGTAAAAATCGTGATCAAAACAGAAGTCCAAGAAGAGGAGGTGGTGGCCACGCCAGTGCATCCCACAGACCTGGAGGCTCATGGGACCCTCTTTGCACCAGGCCAGGCTGCAAGATTTTTCCCCAGCCCTGTGCAGGAGGGGGCCTGGGAGAGCCAGGGTAGCTCCTTCCCCAGTCAGGACTCCGTGCTGGGGCTACGTGAGCCAGCCCGGCCAGAGAGGGACCTGGGCGACCTCAGCCCTGCTGTGGCCCAGGAAGAGACACCCCCTGCTGGGGACTGGCTCTTTAGTGGGGTCCGGTGGGGCTGGAACTTCCGCTGTAAGCCTCCAGTGGGTCTGAACCCAAGGACCGGACCCGAGGGGCTGCCTTTCTCCTCACCAGACAGTGGGGAGGGCATCCTGGACCCCAGCCAGGCCCCAAGACCCTTTCCTGAGCCCTGCAAATACCCAGGTCGGACCAAAGGCTTTGCCCACAAGCCAGGGCTGAAGAAGCATCCAGCGGCACCCGCTGGGGGCCGACCCTTCTCCTGCGCCACGTGTGGGAAGAGCTTCCAACTGCAGGTGAGCCTGAGCGCTCACCAGCGCACCTGCGGACCCACCGACAGCACAGGCACCAGTGCGGCCCCCACAATAGCCACGGCCACGGGTGGTGGTGGTGGTGGCGGTGGTGGTGGTGGTGGCAGTGGTGGTGGAGGTGGAGGTGGAGGTAGCGGCAGTGCACGGGACAGCAGCGCCCTGCGGTGTGGAGAGTGCGGCCGCTGCTTCACCAGGCCCGCGCACCTCATCCGCCACCGCATGCTCCACACGGGCGAGCGGCCCTTCCCCTGCACGGAATGTGAGAAGCGCTTCACCGAGCGCTCCAAGCTCATCGACCACTACCGCACGCACACGGGTGTGCGTCCCTTCACCTGCACTGTGTGTGGCAAGAGCTTCATCCGTAAGGACCACCTACGCAAGCACCAGCGCAACCACACGGCAGGGGCCAAGACGCCGGCCCGAGGGCAGCCACTGCCACCGGTGCCTGCTGCACCGCCTGACCCCTTCAAGAGTCCCGCCGCCAAGGGACCCATGGCCCCCACAGACCTCGTGACCGACTGGACTTGTAGCCTAAGTGTCCTGGGACCCACTGATGGGGGGGACCTGTGATCCCACCCCAGGCCCCCGCTGGCTGCCATGTACAGAGCCCCACACAGACAGCCCGGTGGCTTCCAAGGTGTAGAGACAAAAAGGGAGAGAACCAAATTTCCATGTCACTGAACTGATCACTGGAAAAAGAGAACTCAGACAGTACCTTCCATCTCCAAAGGAGGATTCTCTGTAAACTGAACACTATGGTGGAATGTTAAGTAATTTAATTGTATACTTGGGTTTTTTTTTTTTTTTTTTTTTCTTTTAATCCTTGAGGAAAAGGCTAGAAAAGAGTAGCAGCAGCAGTTGAAATTCTGTAGTGCGCTTTTGGTTTTCTGGGGTATGTTCTCCCTGTGTTGGAGTCCTGTGGTAAGTGTGGGAAGGTTGGCTAACAGGGGACAGAAGGTAAGAAGGGCCCTGCCCACCCCTGTGGCACTAACTCCAGAAGACGCTGCCTGGAACACAGCCCCATGAGAGCTGAGCCATCACCTTGTTCCCCCGCTGTCCAGTCCTGGGGCAACAGGTCCCAAAACCCCCACTTTCCCTCTGTAAGACCCACTAGGAGCAGCCACTGAAGGGTCAGCTGGCATCCCCCAGAGCTCTGGCCTGACTGTTCCCTATGTGGGGCCATGTGCAGCACCTGTGCAGATGGAGGGACCTGTGGGTGTCTCTGTCATAGACTTCTGGCCTCATCTCCTGGAGTCCTGTGGCATTATAGCATTAGGTCTGGGAGGTAAAGAAGCTAAGACTGTCCAGGTTCCACAGAGCGGGACAGCGTCCACCGGCCCATGCCCCAGTGCCTCTGTGTGCTGCCCTGTATGTCATGTTCTCATACTTGCAATGTGTCCTGTCCGCGTCAAGTCTCATTTCACCAGTACTGTGCCGGGAACAGCAGCAGGATAGGTCAGTCTCTCCTCAGCGACAGAGAAGTAAGGGCTCCAAGTGGACACAGCCCCTCGCCACCAGTGCACAGTGTGTGCCTGGAGCCGGGCGAGCCGCTTAGGAACTGGGCTTCTCCTGTAACATCAGCTTAGGGAAGAAAAGCTTTCAGGTTTTGCCTTCTGAAAGCATTTATCCTGCATGCACTGAGTGATAGGCCCCAGAGGAACTTGCAGGTGCACAGCCCAAGGGCTAAGGACAGCCTCCTGGTGTGTGTGCTGTCTGGAGGCTGGCGATAGGTAAGTAGCTCGCTTGGACCTGCACCAAGTATCTCTGCAAGGTGGGATCAGAAAGGGGCCCAGGTTTGTTGTCCACCCCAGTGCTGTCCTCACTACACACACATCCATTCCAATTTTGTTGAAGTAGCCACCGGTCCTCCTGTCCCCTCCAGAGAGAGATCCTTGTGCCCATTCATCCAGCTCCCTCCTGCGTGCTTTTATTAGGAATAGACTAGTTAAGAAAACTGTTTCTATGTACTGTATATTTTGTACCTGTTTACACTTCTAATATTGATATAATTGATATTTTGAAAACAAATGAACAGAAAACATCCTGTTAAAATAAAACCTAACCAGCACCCAAGGCAGTTTGGTGGGTTCCGTTCTTAGACCTGTGTCTCCATCACTGATGCTTCTAACACACCCTCCATGGGCCCTCTGGTCCCTTCCCAAGTGCCTTCCTGTGCTTGGTCACCATAGACCCGGAGGGATGACTGTCCTGGAGAACAGGGAATGGAAGGTTCCTTGGAGATAGATTGACATCAGCAAGAAGAATCAAAGCACATCAGATAAGTCTGCATGAGAATGCACACTGTACAGGTGGTGTTTGCATTTGCTATGTGTGAAAAAGGGAAGCTCCGGAAGAAACATTGCAGCACGTTGAAGCATGGGTGTTGCATATTGTCCTCACATCCTTTTCTTGGCTGGGCAGGTGGAATCAGGTGATGCCCACAGCTGTAATCCTCATCTTGGAGCCCAGTGTGTCTGGCAGACTAACACCCAGCAACTGGGGTTGATAATTATTAATACGTTGTCTCCCTGTTTGGGTCTTTTTTGTTTTTATCTATATTTGTGATACATAAGATTAAGCCTAGGGCCTTTGCACTGAGTTACATTCCCAGTCCTTTTTGATTCTCACTATGTCCTGTGTTGCCCAGGCTGTGCTCCAACTTGCAATCTTGCAGCCTCTCAAGAGTACTGAAATTACAAGCGTGTACCACCATGCCTGGTCTGCTCATAGTCTTTTTAAGGGAATAATAAAATCTGCCTTAATTATCACCATAGAGAGCATATGAGCAGGACATAGAAAAGGGGTGGTGGCAGCTCCTCCAGGCCCACCGCAGGGAGGGGGACAGAGTTGCACCCCTCTCCTGCATTCTGGTCCTTCTCCCAAACGACATTTCTAGGATTTGAAATCCAGGGGGCCACCTCTGGGACTTCACACCCACAGTTATTCTTCAACCCCATATGAACCCCACTGTGCCTCACACCCACATTCTCACATGCAGGGATCAGAAGTTCAGGGCCAGATGCCCTGACCATGGTTTACTACGTGAAGGACTCCTCAGCCTTGAGATCCAGTGACAAGAGAATGTGGGAGAAGCAGCATTGGGCCAGAGGTATTGAGGTCATCTTGGGACACCCAGAAGAAGGTGGGACACCAGAGAGACCAAACCCAGCCATGGAACTGGAGGGGTCACCACTGGCCCACCAACTTTCAGGGACTCTTGCTCTATCACAAGGGCCTAGTAAACTTGTTCCTCTAGTTTCGTCTGCTGCTGCCATTAACAAATTGCTGTATGTGTGGTGGCTTAACTGATGCAAAATGGTCCTATAGTCCTGGAGGCCAATAGTCTAGAGAGTCTTCATGGAGTGGGTGAGGCACTCCTGGGCACAGGGAGAATTGGTCTACTTGCCTTTTCTAACTTCTAGAAGCTGCTTGCAGCCCTTGGCTGATAGCCACTTCCTCCAAAGGAAAGTGCTCCAAACTTGGGTTCTGTCATCGGAACATCTTTTTCTGACTTTGACTTTCTTGGCTCCCTCTCATCAAAAGCCTTTCAATTACATTGCTCCTGCCAGAATAATCTCTTAAGATCTAATTTTCCTTTTTCCTTCCTTATAGTGCTGGGTCAAACAGGGCCTTGTGCATACCAAGCAAACCCTATGCTAAGTCCATTCCCAGCCCTTCAAGGTCTAACATAGGCCCATCTGTAGAGTCCCTTCTGCTATGCAAGCGGCAGATTCACAGGTTCTAGGATTTGATGTTGGAACTATTTCCAGCTTACTACATTACCCAAATCTCAGGGCACTTCTGTCACTGCCCTAATGCCAGGCCAAATACTCCCTGGAACATGGATATACACTGTGACACCAAAGTAACTGATGCCAAAATGCGGATATTTGAGGCTAATCCCTCCTGGCCACGCCTTCATCTCAGCCACCCTCTGTCCCCCATCAAAAGCTGCTCACCACTGCCCACCTCCTGTCACCTCTCTCTCCACCATCATCCTTTCAGTGTTGTCCTCTTGTTCCTGACGCCCCTGAAGATGGCCCTGTCCTTTGTCCCTCTTCCTGTGGTCAGGTGGCAGCACCACGGAGTTCACATTCACACACAGTTCGGAGACAAGGTAGGTCAGGCTCTGCTCCAGTCATTTCAGCAGCTCCAGGGCTTGGAAAAATGTCCTGGCCACTTGTAATTGATTCCTTTTCTGTGTCCTTCAGCTGTTATCCTTCCACATCCCAGGAGGTTTGCGGAGACCTGTGGGCCTCACCGTGGCATTGCTGACTCAGAATCTGCTCCCTCCTGCTCCTCCCAAGGACTCTCATGTCCACGGGTTAAACCCCAAACTTCAGCACAGCACAATCAACTCCTCACTCAGGCTGCTGTTGTTTTCCATTCTCACTTCCCTTCCCTGAGCACCATGCTGTTTCCTGTACTTACATGTGCTATTCCCTCTGCAGACAGTGGACCCCATCTGGCAACTATTTCTTGACTCGAAGTATCACCCCACTCCCTGCTTTTCCCACAGACCCCTGCTCAGATTCTGCCATTTTCTTAGACCCTCCCTTATTCTGTGTGTGTGTGTGTGTGTGTGTGTGTGTGTGTGTGTGTGTGTGTAAAACAGCTGTCTGTTTAAAGGTGAGGCTTGCCAGACATGGTGGCACATACTTGTAGTCCTAGCACTCAGGAGGATGAGGCAGGAGGATCATTGAGAGTTCAAGTGAGATTCAGTCAAAAGCAAACAAAAGAAGAAAGAAAAACAAAGGAAGGAAGGAAGGAAGGAAGGAAGGAAGGAAGGAAGGAAGGAAGGAAGGAAAGGAAGAAAGGAAGGAAGAAAGAGAAAGAAAGAGAAAGAAAAAGGAAGGAGGCCTGCCAGGTGTCCACCACATGCTTACAATCCTAGAACTTGAGAAAGTGTTGCATGAAGAGTGCTGAGAGTTCAAGGCCAGCCTGGGCTACAAAGAAGACCCTGCCTCAAAAAACCAAAAGAAAGAAAATTTGGCAATAGACAGGCGCAGTGGTACATGACTGTAATACCAGCATTTGGTAGGCTGGGACAGGAGGATCACTGAGTTTGAAGCCAGCCTGGACTAGTGATTTCAAGGTCAGCCTAATCTACATAGTAAGACCCTGTCTCAAAAAAATAAAAAATAGGTAATATACCTACAAATCATAAAGAGACTTTATTCCTCTATAGCTCTAAAATGATTTGGGTGCTGGGCCCCACTTCTTAGTCCTTGGCACTACCCAAGAAGAACATGAAAAAAATGAGGTATTTCCTAAAGGGGTTCACAGCCAGAGCGGGGTCACCTGTACTCCTGCAGCCCAATGGCATGATCTGAACTGAGATCTAGTGACCTTATTACAATGCCACCAAATGACAAAACCTTGTCCATCTCAGGCTGGGCACTGGGTGATAGCTATGGAAAGGTGACAATTCCCCGAGAATTCAAAATTGCAGCTCCTACTCATGCAGGTTTGGCATTCAAGTTTACATTATCCACAGAGTTGATAAATTGACATAAAAATTTGACCAAGACCAATGATAGCACCTGAGGTTTTAGGCTGAAGCAAACTTAAAAGCAGGAGGAACCATCCCACAATGCAAACCCCAACCCCTGCTCAACATACAGTTTGCCAGTTACACATAGTAAAACCACAAAGAAACAATCAACTGTTAATGAGGACACAACAGAGGGATAAGAATACAAGAACTTAAACTCATGTAAAGATATTCCCAAAGAGAATATAAAAAGCAGAGTCAATAGAAATCCAGGAGATTAAGATACTATTAAAAAAATCAAAATACCAAAGAAAAAAATTCATTTTCAAAGAAGTAGAAAAAAAATCAAAATAACATTTCCAACAGAATTTCTAAAATAAAAGAGCTAAATCCCCAGCCCCCTGAAAAAAGTTTTAAACCTAAATGTTCTAATCAATTAATGGAATGGCTGAACAATAGAACCAGATGCAGCCAGCAACTATTAGAGTTGTCTGTTAGTATCCGCAGAGGGTTTGTTCCCAGCCCAGCTCTCATGCAAGCACCAAGATCCTCAGATGTTCAATTCGCTTATATTAAATGGTATAATACTGTACAAAATTCATGTACATCTTCCTGTGTATTTTATCATCTCTAAATTACTTATCCAATGCAATGCAAATGCTACAGAAATAGTTTTTACACAGTATTATTTAAGGAATAATGACAAGAAAGAAGTCCTCACATGTTCAATACAGATGCCATTTTTTAAATCCAAACCCACTGATATGGAGGGTCAGCCATAGTTAAACCAAAGCTACACCAGGAAAGAACTCAAAATGAAGGGCACAGGAAGAACATAACAGATGGAAACATGATATGCTGAGAACACAGACTAAGAACACTTGCATATACCTATCTAATCAGATGTTCTCTCTAGAAAGTGATGAGGTAATTAGGAAAAATGAAATGTAGTAATATCTGAATTCATAAACACTTCTTTCTGTTCAGGAACAAATTAGTTCCCAGACAGAAGCATGTAACAACATTTTGCTTCTGTTTGTGAACTCCACATCTGGTAACAAATATGACTGTGGCTATCTTCCCCAGAATCATGAGACAAATGAAGTTGGTGAACCAAGGTATCACATATTTTTTTAAAAAGAAAATGACTAATAGTTTTTTAAGAATCAATGAAAGACATAAATCCTCAAATTCAAGAGGCACAATTCTTGAGTAAAGAAAATAGACTACCAAACAAAGAGGTAATCCTAAAAGCAGCTAGAGGAAAAGACAAATGTCCATAACAGAAAAACTATTAGGTTGACAGCAGACTCTGTTATGATGAAAACAGATGACAATGAACTAGTACCTACAAAATGGTAAGGGAAATGACACTCATGTTGGATTTTATACCCTGATCAACTATCACACAACAAGCAAAATCAGACACATTTTCAGAAAATGTAAACAGAACACATCATTCATAGACACTCAATGAAAAAAACTACTGAGGATTATTTTTTTTGGTACCGGGGATCAAACTCATGACCTCACACTTACCAGGCAAGTGCCTGTTAAGAGCTAAATCCCCAGCCCCTGA